TTCAGCCCATGCTGTTAGGTAGCATGTAGTAGAACCAAACACTATCGAGCTGCTTAACAAAAGAACGCCTTCCAAGGGAAGAATAATTGAGGTACTTATTTGCCACCATATCCTGTTCTCTACTGATAGTTTTTTATCTTGTTAAGAAAAGAAAGGAATCTCAACAAAGGTTACTAGGACTTTTAAGTGGGTTTCAACAGGGAGACCCATCATTGTTTATACCACAGAGCAACAGGCTTGTATAGATTTGATTGCTGCGCCTGACAGGAGCCTCTGCTTGCACAAAGCCGCCACTTGTTTCATGAGCAGCCGGTAAACTTGGAGCCCGTCTAAGACAATCAGAGGAAGTGTACATATAAACTTCTCCGTGCGAGGAAAGGTGGTTTTTCCATTTGCCTTTTTCTGAGCAGTTTAACTTCCTAATTGCATGATCCAAATTGTTTCAGAGACTGTGTAAACCATATGTTTGTTAAATGGAAGAAACAAACATGGGGAAGTCTGATTAGCATCAGCTTCCCTAGGAAAGGAGCGTCTTCCCCAGCCCAGCTGAGCTCGCTTTGTACTTACTGGACACAGTAAGTTGGGTCGGCAGAGGAGGAAGTGGGGTTGTAAATGGCTGCGTCTGACTGTGGATTCGTTCCTCTTCTTTCTGCTTAAGCCCGTATTTTAACAGTTATCCTTCTGTATTGGCATGAGGGAGACAGTAGGTGCTGGCTGACATGAGGAGAATGAATTTCACTCAGTATTTAGCAGAGTTGGGGGAAAATGTTATTTTGAACCTTTATGAGATTAAGTGTGTGTGTCTGTGTGTGTGAGAGCAGAAACACGCTAGCAAGAGTGAGCTCCTGTTCAGTTTTTATTCCATTGGGTTTGAATAATAGCTGACAGGGATGAATCATCAACTTACTTGACTACTGTTAAATCAAGTTTTTTATATTAAGTTCATTAAAAGAGTAGTGAAGAAGTTGTGGACATTATGTATCACATGACGAAGATGCTTGCAGGTCTAGATGGAATAATGATATTGGGTGACTGCTATTGAACCAGTTAAAAAAAAAAAAAAGCAAACTTGTTTCCTGCATCCTATTTTGGATACAGAAGGCAAAACAGTGGGAAAGTTCTGTGTCCCGGCACATTCAGTGACCCAGATGTGCAGGTGTGTAGACACGGATACCTTGAGGTGAACTCACATAGCTGTAAATAAAGTGGCTGCTCTTTATCAGCCCAACTGGACACCTGAGAGAACCACAGGTGCAAACTGGATCAAACGGTCACCCTAGGTCTTAATGGCATTGTAGTTGTCATGGCTTAAGAGAACAATTAAAAAAACATTCTGTTGTCTACTTCTGTCTCTAATTACCCCCCTGCCGAAGACAAAGATTCAACACATCGATGAAACAACAGTAGCTGGTATTGTTTGTATTTAGGCAAACACTGGTTGTATTTAGGCAAACACTGGGAGAAATATGAACTCTGAAAATTAAGAGGGAAAAAAGACTTAACTAGTTTTTTCATATTTGTTTACATTAGTTTCCTGTGAACCCTTTGTCTTGAATTCTACTGGGGACTACCTAGTAAGTAAAGCCACTTTATGCTGAAGACTTTGGAACTTGAGTCATCTTGAATGATGGCTTTATAGCATATAGATTTCTTTGCCTTTTATTTCTTTGGGAATACAAAGAATACCTTTGCACTGTCATTATTTAGGGCACTGCCTACATACCCATGTGCACAGCATTAAGGAGGTTGGATTTCTCTGTCTGAAGCAGAATTATTTTTAACTGGAAATGGGCGTCTTTAACTAGAAGGTCATTGTGAGTTGGACCGAAAGAGTAACTCAAAGGTGCAGAGAGAAGATGGTAACAAGCAAGTCCTTGTTCGTCTTGTTTTTTTCTCTTGTTTTTGATGTTGTTGTTGAGGTTTTGCTTTTGTCTTTATTTTTTACTTTGTGGCTTTATCCTGAGTCCTGGGTTTTACTACATCTGTGTCTGAGCTATCTAGACAATATTATAAGCTTTACTTGCTGTATGGTCAGGCCACTCAAGATGGCTGTTCTCTTGTTCTCTGTACATCCCCTGCTGGAGCAGTGCCACCTACCTACACCTTACTCACAGGAAGGTGCTTGCCCCCTGCCGCAGCTAGTGATTGTTCTAATCATCAGGCCAGAAGGATTCCATCTGCTAGTTTATTAAAGAGAAACATCTACCCTCGTGATGGTCATTAACCTGAGGGGCTGTGAGTGATGTGCCCCAGCTGCTGGTCTCCCTGGTAACTGATAAGCCCAGCTGGCATCACTTCCCCCTATAAATGGTAGCCTCCTTCTCCCCCGCCCCGAGCAATGAAGACTGCTGCCCTGTCCCGCCTGCTCTCTGCAGCACAGGGTGCAGATGTTTCGGTTGTGTGAGATCCCCTCTCCAATAAACCACTGATGTCTCTGTCGCTGTTTCCCTGCTCTTTCTTTGGTCTCGAGGCTGGGCAGCTACGAGGCTTGTAGGCCTGCAGGGTGCAGCCTGACACCAGCTTTGCCAAAAATCGACTGCTTTGTTTCTGGTAAACACGGTCTTTTAAAAGTATAACGTTGTTTGTTTGTAAAGTGTATTACGCTGCTTCCTCCTTTTATAAAAATTATGTGACCTTTGATAAGCCTCATTTTGATTTGAGAAATATTTTATATATTCTGAGTATGGTTGTGCTGGTCCGTTGGCAGTCTCAGGGGAGCTTTGGAGGTGATCTTGCCATGTGAACTTTCAGTTAATACAGATGATTACCCTAGCAACAAACAGACTTGATCAAAAGGCAGTATTTTGCTTTTATAGATGATATAACTGTGTTTGCCGGTTTGGGAGGGGGAAGAATCTATCAAACTAAATTTTAAAAATGATTATAAGGTTTTTAAAGGAGAGTTACAGGGAGTGGTTGACAGGCAGATGCCCACCACCGAATGAAAAACTTTCTAAGAAGTCTTGAACAAAATGGCCTCTTCTGAAATTCCTAGTATAGTTGGGCACAAGGATTTTTTTATCTCTTAGCTCTCCTGAGTTCATACATTTGCATTTATTATTAGGTAAGGTAATTATCCATATGGTTCCTAGAATACATTAGAATGTATTGCATGGTCATCCATTTACTCAGCAGTTATTATTGAGCTCTGCCGTGTTCAATTGAGAGTACACATAGAGAATAGAGAGGAGGTGTATCTAACCAGAGTTGGGTCTGCAAGGAGTGACTGTAAGTAGGTATCAAGAAATTCAAGTTGGATAAGTGAATAAGCATGAATGAGAGGACATGAAGGGTTTAAGGATGGAGGGAAAGGTGGTGGAGTGAGTGGGTGGTAAGAATGGTGGGTTAAAATTGTTGAGGTTGAGGATTAGAAGAGGTGAGTCAAAGAGATTGGCGGGGCTGGTTAGACAGAGGTGTTTGACGTTGGGATTGCAGAGAGGTTGCATCTGGTGGTAGTGACAAGGTTGATTGTTGAAGGGGAAGTCAAGGAACTGAGAGGCTGGGGTAATGGAAGGATTGCCACATGGAAATTCAAGAAAGTAGTGTTGGAGAGTGACAGTAAGCCAGTAACTAAACGCATGAGTGAGGATGAGGCATGATCCATGGGCCTGGAGATGACTGTGGTGATGAGATAGAGACTGATGGCATGAGCATCAAAGCTGGGGACCTTCTGGGAGGACAAAGCGATCATTGTCTAGGAGCAATGAGACTCAAGCAGGCAGAGAGCCTTCAGAGGAGGCTGTGCTCTCTAGAAGAGCCAAGTTTCTGTTAAGGCAAGAAGGTAAAGGGAGAGTTCAGAGAAGAGGCTGAGGATTTAGAAGATTTTGCTGGATTCCCTAAATGAGGTGCATTTCCAGAGGATGCAGTGGAATGCTTCAGCCGAGGGGCTTAGGGAGGTGAGGCCCGATTAGGCATGTTCACAGCACTGTGTGGGTGAGAGTACATTCAGGGGAATGAAGTATACCAGGCGGCGGTCTTGGGCATAAGCAGGGATAGAGGGCGTGGCAGGATCAGTCCTGGTGGTTTCTGAACAGGTGGTGAGGCCATGCATGTTAGAGAGAAGGATGGGTTGGGCGTCTTGCCAGAAGCAAGCAGACCTCTGGGGCTGTTCTTCCCTCCTGTGCCTGGTGGTTTGGAGGCTGCGAGTGCAGCTTCGCTACCCAGAGTGTGAGTGGGTTTGGGACGACCTCTATCCTGTGGATGGGGGTAAGGCTGGGGAAGTATAGCTGTTCAAGCCTTGCCATGATGCACGCGTGTCTCACTTGTTGCAAGGAAATGCCAGGAAAATGTAAAATAAAACCTAGAGGGTTTAATAATTGTTTTTTTTTTTTTAATTTTTATTGGAGTGTAGTTGATTTACAATGTTGTGTTAGTACAGCAAAGGGCACCGGTTATACATGTACATATATCCACTCTTTTTTTAGATTCTTTTCTCATATAGGCCATTACAGAAAATTGAGTAGAGTCCCTTGTGCTGTACAGTAGGTGCAAATAATTGTTTTTAATATTGCTTTTATATGTAAGATATAATTTAGTATATTACAGAAAAATAGTAATTAACAGGTTTAATTTTGGAGGGTTATATTGACTCGTAATCAGTAGATAAATTCAGAGTCCAATTCCTATTTTAAAATATAACATTCTTGGGCTTCCCTGGTGGCACAGTGGTTGGGAGTCCGCCTGCCGATGCAGGGGACACGGGTTCGTGCCCCGGTCCGGGAGGATCCCACGTGCCGCGGAGCGGCTGGGCCCGTGAGCCATGGCCGCTGAGCCTGCGCTTCCGGAGCCTGTTGCTCTGCAACGGGAGAGGCCACAACAGTGAGAGGCCCGCGTATTCCAAAATAATAATAAAATAAAAAATAATAAAAAATAAAATAAATCATTCTCTCCCTGTCCTCCTTCCCTCCCCTGCCACCTTCCCCCAAAATGTGATTTGAAAACCGATAATGTCACAGTCTCATCCACTGAATTACTGTGTTCTTTTTCCCTCTTCCTTACAGTGAAGAAAGTTACAATGTCAATGATTATTCCTTAAGAGATCAGCTACTGGTGGAGTCTTGTGACAGTGAAGAGCTTAATTCTTCTCCAGGGAAGAACAGTTCCACAGTGCTTTATTCAAGACAGAACTCTGCTAGTCACCTCTTTACACTGACAGTCCTTAGTAACCACGTGAACGAGAAAGTGGAGATGCTGCTGGGAGCTGAGACTCAGTAAGTATGTGCGAGGAGAGGGTTTCAGAATATCTGCTGTCGGTCTTCCCTACCTAATTACCCTTGGTCCACAGACCCCCTAAAAACAGTAAACTCTACCTACTATTTTTTTTTTTTATTGATTACCTGTTATGCACCAAGCATAGGTCTGGGTGCTTTATACAGATGCTCGTCTTCTCACTCTCACCTTCTCAGTGTCCTGAGAGATGGATATTGTTATTTTCATCCCCATGACTCCTGATGGATGTGTTGTGCTTTAGGTGGTGTGCTTTTATATTTACAGAGTGTTTTAAAAATCATTTTATTTTCATCATTGATAAAATTATGACCCAGGAGCCCTAGGAATATGATCTAACTGGCAGTTTGATCCTAGGCCCTGAGTTTTCTCAGCTACTGAAATTGAAGTCATTTTGTATCATCTACTTTCGACCAGGCAGCAGAAAGACCAGTGATTTCTGTCAAAAGAGATACTCAGTTTGGGGAAATATGTTTGTTGCAGGAAGGGGAACCCCTTCCAGGGCCTGAGAAAATGGGCTCTTGTCTGACACTTGGAAATGAATTGTGTGAGGAGACATACGAACTGACAAAGCAAAAGACTTTATTGGGAAGGGGTGCCTGGGCAGAGAACAGCAGGGTAAGGGAACCCAGGAGGACTGCTCTGCCATGTGGCTCTCGGTCTTAGGTTTTATGGTAATAAGGTTAGTTTTGGGGTTGTCTCTGACCAATCATCTTGCTTGTGCCCATATTTGATCTGACTCAGGGTCCTCCCTGGTGGTTCTCGCATCTCTCAGCCAAGATGGATCTAGCATGACCGTTTCTGGGAGGTTGGCGCACATTATGGGCTGGCATCTCCTCCCTGCTTTCTGCCCCTCCCGAATTCTCCTGGTTAGTTTTCCACGGCAGCACTGTGTCCTTATCGGGACCTCCTGTTGTGAGACAACTCATGCAAGTGGTTAGCATCGTGCCTGGCCAAGGTGGGCAGCTTCGATCAACGGTTCCCTCACATGTTGATCCCTCTTTCCCATCCAGAGTTTACGCAGAGGCAGAAGCCATCCTGTTTGTGCCTGCAGTTTCACCAGCAGTTAGTAAGCAGTCCATCCTCACACAGGATGAAGGGAAGGGGGCTTAATTGTCAAGTCCACCCGTGCTGCTACTGAACCAGACTTGGGTCTGCTTGCCCGTGCACAGTAAAGCCAATCTACTGACACCGGGTTGTGGTGAAGGAAAGTGCAGTGTTTATTGTAAAGGCACCAATGCAAGGAGGATGGGTGACTCACACTCTAAAAACCCCGAAATCCCTGAAGGAAAGGCCACGTGAGGGAGGGGGTCGCAGGGTACGTGATCAGCTCGTGCACAATTCTCTGATTGGTTGGTGTTGAGGTAAGAGGGTGGTTGACATTATGAATCCTTAGGTGCCAGTCGGTCTGGGGGCTCATGATCATCAAGTAGTTAAGTTCTTCCATTTGGTGGTGGTTTTTAGCATCTATAAAACAACTCAGGAAATGTGCATCAGATACTGTTACCTAGGTACTTCAGAGAGAGCAAAAACAGAGGGTTTTGGCGGGGTCGGGGTGATGTCTGCCTTGGGAAGGCCCTGTAGGGTCCTGTTTGGTTACATTGCGATTTTGTCCATTTAGAGATAGCTGACCAATTTGTTTGGAAACGGGAAACCTCCTCTTAGAACAATCATCATAGGCAGGTATTATGTTGGGTCAGAGGGTGGAACAGTGGAGGGAAAGAAGTTCCCTAATTCTTGGTCCTCTGGGGTTCCTACACCGTCTCCCACTTGGCTCCTACATGGTGTGATTAAAATGGATCAGTAGCTCTTGAATAACAACCCTAAGACTGTAACAGAATCTTAGCGAAAGCCAACCCAAAGAGATAATCTCCACTTTTTAAGAGTATTTTAACAGGGTCCCTGGATTGTTAGAGAGATATAAGAAAAGAAAAAGAAGGAAAAAAGCCATCCACATAAAAACGATAAATGCTCATTTCATGTTTTTGGCACTAGAAGTAACTTTTCCAAGGGCGAAGAAAACCAAGAAGGGCAGGGTGATAGAAAGCTATTTGAGATTTAAAAACAGCCGAAAGAGAGTATTACAAATGCGCTCAAGAGCTAACAGAGGGAATGAATAAGAAAAGGAGCATCATCCTCTGTGTTTGTTTATAAAACAAAGAAATACCTCTTCCTAAGGTCCCAGAATTCTTCCAGGAAACTGCTGGAAAGCCCTGCTGCATTCCAAGGATGCTCCTCTGTGTTTTCCCCTCTGGGGAGGGCACCCTCCGGTGGGTGCAGTGCTTGCTGGTCTGTGCAGGTGACCAGCAGGGGACACACCCAAGACCAGGGCTGAGGAAGGCATTTCTTTGACTCTAAAAATGATTAAACCCCTTGGCCTGTGAAGACAGACCTGGACCTCTTCTGTTTGGGGAAGCCTCTCTTAAAAGAGAATTTAGTATGTCTGACCTTTGGATCTTAAAAGACGTTGAGGATGAAAAAGTCTTAAACACTTTGGAGATTACTGCTTATTATAAAGAATTCTCAGAAATGAAGATTTTATTTTGTCTTTTTTAGTCAGGGAGAAAGTGTTGTTGGTTTCGCTTTACGTTTTCCTTTTCTCTGTGTTTATAAGGACTGTGCTCTTTATCAGCAGAGCTTTTCCTGACTGTCTCATTCATAATTTATGTAATCTTTACTGCTGGTTTCTGAGATTATTCCAAGAGAGTAGGCCGTAAACCGGCATGTCCAGTTTTTACACCAAGGCTAGATCCTTTCCTGGGACGTTCTGTAGCCTTTGTTCCACCCTCTTGCCTTTTGATCTTGCCATAGACTGAATGGATGTTCATTTCCTCAATGAGAAATGTTCTCAGAATATCTAGTTATGTCACCCGTAAACCCGTGGATATGACTCATATTTGTAGTTCTTTAATTAATAGCAAGAGAACATTCCAGAAGGGGCAGAGGGGCGGCTGTCTCCTTGGGTATGGAAGGAGTGACTCCCTCACTCCCTCCCCCCCCACTCAATTACAGTTAAAGTAAATAACTGGACAAATACTTTTAAACATACAAGGCATAAAGTATCATTGGTGCTGAAAGAAAATATATGACAGCCAGGATTCACTTTCCTTAAAAGAAAACACAACAAAACCAAAAAAAAACCCAATCAGCTTTTAAAAGTCTAGCGAGTCGTTAACATGCTGTATTTGGAAATGTGCAGGCCAGCTCTGGGTTACCTGGTTTTGAGTAATCAGAGTTTCGGCCAATGTAGAATGTTTTCTTTGCTTCTAAGATTTGCCAGATGTATAGGTGAGTATGTTTTTTAACTTTTCTCTCTTTGATGTTATACATGGTTAAAATGGTCCATTAGCAATCTAGTTGAGAAGGTTTTCACCACCACCCAGGCCTTGAGTAATTGCAGAATTTCAGACCAGTCGATTGCATTCTTTGGCTACTTACTCTTTGGTTTGAAAAAGAATAGGGTTTGTACCTAAATATTTACCTTCTTTGAGAAACTGTTCGTAGTAGAGGCACCTGGGGCTATACGGAATGTGAAATCAGCCGAGGGAAGGGTGCAGCTGTTTGGCACAAGGACGGTTCAACTATTATAAGGCAGTGAAGTTGTGGAAGAACAGATCAATAGCTTTGATTACATAAAGAATGCAGAAAAGCTCACCAAAAGGAAATGGGGCAAACGCTTAGTGAGCATCTGGGATGTGCCAGGCACAGGACCAGCTAGAGAGCATGAAGGGAGCCTTGGGTGTTTCTAGAGAAGGATGGTGCTTCAGAGCTGAAGCATATAAGTGAGATGACTGTACATCTTGGTTTCTTTGGGATCAGTGTTATTATGTCTGTTGTTCGGGCAAAATTAAGAATAGCACCTTCTTTGACTTTCCAAAGTGTCTTTAGACGATAAAATATGTTGTGACCCTATTTATAGGTCTGTAGTCCAACTCCCTCAGTTTTCTCCCAGATGTAAGATGAGACTCAAAAAGGTGAAGTGATTTGCCTAAAGTCACACAGGAGGTGAGTTACTGCCAAAATGGGACTAGACCTTGACCTTCCTGAATCTGAAATTCTTTCTAATAACAAATTTTAAGCTTCTTACTGAGAAGCTGCCATCTCGGAGACTATTCCACCCCCATCTTGCTGTTCAACTTGGCCTTGTTCTGGCTCTGGAAGGGAAACTCCAGGAAGCTAGTTGCTATTAAATGTGAAAAACTACTAAAATGTGACTTTTTAAGTTCATAGACTTAAAATGAAAAAGTATGTGGTAAATTTAAGGCATCATATGGTTTGAAATATTTTATAATAAAATGCTGACTAGATGTTGCATCCCTCAAATTATCTTCCATTTAAAACTTCCTTTTTTGTTCCTTTGCCTATGTTTTTCCTACTTCCTGGAATGCCCTTCTCAGAACTCCTCGAATTACCAAATATCTTACTTCTCAGGGCTCACGCCAAGTGCCAAGTCTTTCCTCTACAAGGAGGCCCCTCAGTGATCTTGTCCCCGAGAATTCCAAGTGCTTGCTCTGTGTGCCCCTCTTGTTAGTTCATTTTTCTCCTCCTGTTTTCTGTCTTGCCCGCCCTCTGCCGTACAACTCCTGGCCCCCAACCCACCCCTAAGTCTCTCCTTCCCTTTACGGCTGCACTTCTCAAGAGAGCAGCTTTCATTTCTCCCTATTTACTCAGTGAATTTTTATTGTGCACCAGCAGACTTTCAGGTGCTATTCTAAGTGCTGGGATGTAGCAGTGCACAGTGCAGAGACCAGGTCCCTGCCCTCTGGGGGCTTCTGTTCCACTGAAGAACCTATGCCTGTGTGCCTCCTGCCCTCAAGGAGTTGACTTTGGTGGCACTGAACTTTTGCCAGGCTGCCTGGGCAGATGGCCTGCAGTGAACTGGGATGGTGGGAAAGCATTTCTTCATCCAATTTTAAAAATAAATAAGTGCAGTGGAAACAGTAAAGCCAGGAATGTATTCCGGAGTGTGAAGTGCTGGGATGGG